CAATCGTTCATTTGCATAAGGGTTTGGATATTTGATTTTGAAATATCAATATACAGTATTGATAATATGATAATCACATCGAGTTAGTATCACACAGGATTCGATCCACAGATCTCAGCATGTATTTCACATGGATACAATGGATAACACGTCTGACTACGGATCAGAAGAGCCATCATAAGAACCATCACAAGAACCATCAGAAGAGCCATCATAAGAACCATCACAAGAACCATCATAAGAACCATCATAAGAACCATCACAAGAACCATCATAAGAACCCAGGCAACACAAGAACCATCATAAGAACCATCATAAGAACCATCACAAGAACCATCACAAGAACCATCACAAGAACTATCATAAGAACCCAGGCAACACAAGAACCATCATAAGAACCATCATAAGAACCATCACAAGAACCATCACAAGAACCATCACAAGAACCATCATAAGAACCATCACAAGAACCATCAGAAGAGCCATCATAAGAACCATCACAAGAACCATCACAAGAACCATCATAAGAACATCACAAGAACCATCACAAGAACCATCATAGGAACCATCACAAGAACCATCACAAGAATCATCACAAGAACCATCATAAGAACATCACAAGAACCATCACAAGAACCATTATAAGAACCATCATAAGAACCATCACAAGAACCATCACAAGAACCATCATAAGAACCATCACAAGAACCATCACAAGAACCATCATAAGAACCATCAGAAGAACCATCACAAGAACCATCATAAGAACCATCATAAGAACCATCACAAGAACCATCACAAGAACCATCATAAGAACCCAGGCAACACAAGAACCATCACAAGAACCATCACAAGAACCATCATAAGAACCATCACAAGAACCATCACAAGAACCATCTTAAGAACCATCATAAGAACCATCACAAGAACCATCATGAGAACCATCATAAGACCCATCACAAGAACCATCACAAGAACCATCATAAGAACCATCATAAGAACCATCACAAGAACCATCACAAGAACAATCACAAGAACCATCACAAGAATCATCACAAGAACCATAATAAGAACCATCACAAGAACCATCACAAGAACCATCACAAGAACCATTATAAGAACCATCACAAGAACCATCACAAGAACCATCAGAAGAACCATCACAAGAACCATCATAAGAACCATCATAAGAACCATCACAAGAACCATCACAAGAACCATCATAAGAACCCAGGCAACACAAGAACCATCACAAGAACCATCATAAGAACCCAGGCAACACAAGAACCATCACAAGAACCATCACAAGAACCATCATAAGAACCATCACAAGAACCATCACAAGAAACATCTTAAGAACCATCATAAGAACCATCACAAGAACCATCATGAGAACCATCATAAGACCCATCACAAGAACCATCACAAGAACCATCATAAGAACCATCACAAGAACCATCATAAGAACCATCACAAGAACCATCACAAGAAACATCTTAAGACCATCACAAGAACCATCACAAGAACCATCATAAGAACCATCACAAGAACCATCACAAGAAACATCTTAAGAACCATCATAAGAACCATCACAAGAACCATCATAAGAACCATCATAAGAACCATTACAAGAACCATCACAAGAACCATCACAAGAACCATCACAAGAACCATCTTAAGAACCATCATAAGAACCATCACAAGAACCATCACGAGAACCATCACAAGAACCATCACAAGAACCATCATGAGAACCATCATAAGACCCATCACAAGAACCATCATAAGAACCATCATAAGAACCATCATAAGAACCATTATAAGAACCTTCATAAGAACCATTTTAAGAACCATCATAAGAACCATCATAAGAACCATCATAAGAACCATCATAAGAACCCAGGCAACACAAGAACCCAACAACACGAGCTGAGACCAAGAGGAACCAACGATTTAAAAAGATGTAAGAAACTAAAAGAGACAAAAGCAAATAAAAAGAGAACAGCAATAAGAAGGTAAGAGCAGGAAAAGTGCTCATGATGGATAGACCGGATCTTTGTAACATAACAATGAGTAAGGTCTTTTACCTGCTTTTTGTAACATAACAATGAGTAAGGTCTTTTACCTGCTTTTTGTAACATAACAATGAGTAAGGTCTTTTACCTGCTTTTTGTAACATAACAATGAGTAAGGTCTTTTACCTGCTTTTTGTAACATAACAATAAGTAAGGTCTTTTACCTGCTTTTTGTAACATAGCAATGAGTAAGGTCTTTTACCTGCTTTTTGTAACATAACAATGAGTAAGGTCTTTTACCTGCTTTTTGTAACATAACAATAAGTAAGGTCTTTTACCTGCTCTTTGTAACATAACAATGAGTAAGGTCTTTTACCTGCTCTTTGTAACATAACAATGAGTAAGGTCTTTTACCTGCTTTTTGTAACATAACAATGAGTAAGGTCTTTTACCTGCTTTTTGTAACATAACAATAAGTAAGGTCT